AAAACTAAAATTAATGAAATCTTGAACAATATGCTTATACAGAGTATATATTACTGAAACAATAATTATAAATTTATAAGTATATGATTATAAATAAACAATACTAGTCAACACTGACTTGTAGATGGGGAAAATCAAAGTGGTAAATTAATTATGGGACAAACGGGGTAACATGCATCATTGTCATACATCCGTTTGTTATCTACTCACCTCCTTTTTGTTAATTCCTCTGCTTCTGTCAACTATGTATCTGATTTTGTTAACTCATACATTCATATGATGGCACCAGCAAGACAAACTGGATCCACTGGAGGATTGTTTCCGTATCAGAATGGTCATTACCCTTCTTGAAACCTGTGGACACTACTTTGATCGAGGTTCTTCAAAAAGGAAACTGGATCGGTTCCTCGTTCATTTCCAAAGATACATATTGAGCAAAGGAATGTTGCCCCTGGATATCGAGTTTGATTTGCAGGTCATTTTCAAATTCCATTTTCTTTTTACCATATTTGACTTGTGATTTTGTAATCATCGTCTGATTCATCTTACACAATGAAGGAAGCTTAGGATGTATACGTTTTTGAAAATTTTATATGCATTTTGAAGGACTTGTTTGCTGAATTGCGTCCCAAAATGATTCGATATGCCTCGATCGATGAAGTCAATGCGGCAATCCTTGAACTCGATGAACATGAGCAAGCGGTTTCAACTGAAAAGGCCAATACTGAAAAGCATCTTGATACAAAACTTGAAAACACAGTCAACGGAGGACAAAACCTTGCAAATAAAATTATTGAAGAAAATGGCGAACCACATGAGGATATTATTCCCGGAGATAGTGAAAGTGATTCAGACAGTGAGCATCGGGGGCGTGATGATGATGAATTTGATGAAGAGAATCATGATGATGTGTCTGAGACCGATGATGAGTATAATGATGTGGGCGGGCCGCCGGCTTCAGATGAAGAAGATGAGGTACATGTTAGGTCATCAAAGGTTGCTGAAGTGGATCCCCAGGAGGAAGCTGACTTCGAACGTGAGCTTAGGGCTTTACTGCAGGAGAGTTTGGATTCACGAAAGCTGGAGCTGCGCGCAAGACCGACAATCAACATGGTAATACCGATGAACGCATTCGAGGGGCCCACAGCCAAGGATGAAGAGGATGAGACATTGGCGGATGAGGAAGCTGGAGCAGGAAAAGAGGTTAGGGTTAAGGTCCTTGTTAAACGGGGAAACAAACAACAGACGAAACAGATGTACATCCCCCGTGATTGCTCCATCATACAGAGCTCGAAGCAGAAAGAAGCAGCCGAGCTTGAAGAGAAACAAGACATCAAGAGGCTGGTCTTGGAATATAATGACAGAGAGGAAGAGGAGCTTGTTAGTGGGGTCCACGGGAACCAACATCAGAGCTGGTCTCAAAGCGGCGGTGGTGGCAGAGGCTCAGGTCGTGGCAATGCGTGGAATGGTGGGCCACGTCATCGCTATCTGCAACACTCTGGTGGTGGCTTATATTATGGTAGAAGAAGATGATGATGATGCTCACATTGTTAACTTTGCCCTCAATATTGTTTATATTTGCAGACAAATCATTTTGTTTGCTAGACTAGTAAAGTAGCTGGAATTGTGAATCAGAGTTGTAAATAATATGGAGTACCAAGTACTTTCTTAAGCAAGACAGATTAAAAAATAACTTCATTAAGACAAGTTCCAAATGGTCTCATGGAAACTTGACTGGAAACTCTGGAACGGGAAGGGTTTTTATCCCCACCCAATTAAACTAGATGCCATATAAGGTGACTGACGGCAACCGTGCGGGATTAGGTGGCTGGTGATGTCCGTTTTAGATGCGGTGGTCGGTGATGGCAGTTTCAGATGCAGTGGCACCGCAGCGGCAGAGGACATAAAGGCCATGAAAGACTCGACGGCGCCAGGTGAGGTCTCACCGAGGGTGGCAAAGGTGGAGATGACGGCGGTGGAGGACTTGGCAGCGTCGGATGAGGATTCGTTTGAGAGCGCTGGTGCTGCTGGAGATGGTGGCAATGGCGTTAGAGTGGATGCCATCACACACTAGATTTGGTGCCATTGTACTGTCGCAAAATATTATTTTAAGGGTTGTTTTGTCAACCCAGGTCTTTTTACTCGTATGAAACATTGAAATCCTACTTTTACATTTTTAGCATGTTTTACTCTCAATAGGGAATTATTCTGTTTGTTAACCAATAATCGAAGTATTGAATATTGCACAGCGATGGTAAATTGGTAACTAATGTTAAAAAGATTATACATAATTGCTCTGAGAAAGTTATTTATTTAGCACGAAAAGTTTGAGAAACATGGATATTGCAGGAGAACCACTCCCAAAATGTTTGGATGGTGTCAATGTGTCATGGTGCTGGACTATTGTTATTCCATTTGTTCCACTTATTTTATTTTGTGTTATATCTTTTTATCTATTTTATTAAGTTTATCCAGTAACATATATAATAATATCTAATTTTGTAGTTCAAATTCATTCATATTTTATTCAAAATTTTACAAATTCAATATATAGAAATACAATTATATTTTTCATAAGAGTGATGACTTTTCAAGTAACATTGTTAATCTTCTTAGTATGTTAGCATTTATTTTGTGCATTTTAATCATTTATTAAAGAATTAAATTATGTAGCTAATATCAATGTAAAAATAGTAAGATAATACTAACTACACAAATCTTTATTTAAAAAAGAATTGCAGCATAAAAAAGCTAGTGAAAAAGTTATTATGGGAGCTGGAGTGCTATAGTAGGAGTGGATTCGGGCCGAGCCAACCGGTCCGGAACCGGGCCGGCCTGCTACTGTGCGAGCCCGGACCGGCCCGGTGAACCGGTTGGTTGCCCGGTTCGGGCCACCCGGCCCGGTGGGATGGCGGTTCGGGCTCGGGCCCTTCAAAAGGTGAGCCGACCCGGCCGGTTCGGACCCGGACCGGACCAATTTATTATTATTATTTTTTTGATTTTTTTTAAGTTTTTGGGTTGTGCTGGGTATTTTGGGCCATTTGAGGTGGTTATGATTGGTTTGGGGGTGAGGGGGAGGGTTGGGGGTTAACTAGGAAAAGCCAAAAAAAAAAATAGAACGAGGCCCGGCCCGGACCCGGGGTTACCCGGGCCGGTTCCGGGCCTCCCCTTCATGAACCGAGGCCCGGCCGGGCCCAGGCCTGAATCGGGCCCGAACCGGAACCGGTCCACCCCTATGCTATAGGAAGTTTTATACTTACTATAAAAGTAGAAGTAGGGAGAATTCCCGAATATAACTTATTATTTGTGATTGAATAAAATCGCTTATAGAGGTTGAAGCACTACCTTTGTCGGACTCCGCTGCCGGCGCCTGACGGACTGCCACCATCAACAAACGGACTACCCTTATTATAAAATTACATTATGTATGACACATAAATTTTAAATGTTGTTTATTTTCGGTTAAACTGAGATTTATGATATTGCAACATTAGTATTAGAACTCTACACACTAAGAGCAACTCCAACAAGCACCAAATCACACACCAAAATGGTGGATTTGCTAAAAAATGCTCCAATAGCCACATCATACCTTACACCATTACACCTTTTTGGGGGAGAGGGGTAGACTTTACACCATATATGGCGTACACCAAATCCCACATCATCCTCTTTTTTTAATTTTTTTTTTATTTCAAAAGTGACCCAATGTTTTGATTGTTATAGTTTTGACTCATCTTTAAAACAAGAAATTAGGATGTTTTTACTTAGACTGAAATTTGCTAGTCTGCTCTGGTCTGGTATAATTTGGTCTGGTCTGGTCTGAACTGGTGTGGTCAGGTCTGATTTCTTTGTATTTTTATAACTACCCAAGTTTGGTCTAATCCGGTCTGATCTGATCTGGGACAAATTGCAGTCCAAGTAAAAACATCCTTATAGAACAAATAATTAAAATTATTAATTTGATAGAAAATAAAAAAAATTAATAAAATTTAAATCACACAATATTATAAATAAAGTTTCAAATCCAAACAACATAGTAACAGAATACAAATGATACTTAAGAAAATTACATAATTAAAATTACAATTAATAACACCATTATAATTAAAATTAAAACATAATTAAAAACATACATAGTACATACTAATTTAGAAATTAGTAGTCATTCAACCCGCTTCCAGACCCTCCAAGATCATCAAATAGATTCCCAAATCCAGCTGATGATCCTCCTTCTTGAGTTTTTTTTTTGTAAAATTCTCGATCTTTCTGTAATGATATACTCTCGTGTTTGTGGATCGTGAATAGAATTCAAATCCATGAACATAATTTTATCTTCTCTTTTCTGTTCTTTGTATGCCATATTTTGTCGCTGAATTTGCAATTATTATAATATTATTGTAATATTTAATTTTATGCAGTTTTAGCTTGTATTTGTGAAATATTGATTATTGTATTTTAATTAGTGAAATGCGTGAAAATACATATTAAAATGGTGTATTTTAGTTTGTATGCGTAAAATAATGTGTGAAATGTCAAAATATTAAATGAGAGGCTAATGTATAAATATATACTAATTAGATACTTAATAAAAGAATGGTAAAAAGAATAAAAAGGGAATGTTTCTTTTTGGTGATGAAAATGACGTAAATTGTTGGAGATAAAATATTGTATGATGTGATGTTTACACCATTTTAGTGTACAAAATGGTGTACCCTAATAGCCTTAATTCTTGCTTGTGAGGGATGGCTGCATGCTTTTTTTCTAAATAAAGTGATGGCTGCATGTTAGACAATTTTTGTTAGCATGACCTCTTTTAGTTCATTTTGTATTTTGTTAGATCCTAAGTCCTAATATGACAATTTTCTGATATGAACTCTTAATTTTTAGAATATAAATAAGCTGCCTTTTTTTATTATTAAATTTGAAAATGAACTTTTTTAAAAAGGGAAGGGAGTATAAATACCACTTCCTCCGCATTTTCTCATTGACCCAATTCC